ATGGAGTCTAAGCCCCTAGGTCCGGGACTCCCACGCAGTCGACTACGTGGGAGTCCAGCGACATAGCCATTACGCTAACTGCTGGTCCCGGCTCTAAATTTTTTGATGTAGATTCCCTGCCTGTAAATATAACCTTGGGTTTGGGGAGGTGTTTTGAGGGAACCTGGAATTCTGTAAATTTTGTATTTGAGGTATAGGGCAGGAGAGGACTGCATGATTAGTATTGTATAATTGGGGCCATATATTTATTAATACCTAAAAAGCAGAAATGAGAAAGTAAGATAACTGAACTTTTTTTTTTTTTTTTTTTAAAGGAATATCTCTTGGGGCCAGCAGGCAGCATGGTGGTTAAGGCACTAGACTCCCACATGGCTGACTGTGGTTCATGTCTTGGATCCAGCACCTTGAAAATCATGCTATGTGTGCCCAAAATCCCACGAGGAGAATGGAGGAGAAGGGATTGTGGTGTGGCCATCCCCCCTGGGGAGTGATTTCTTGCTTTTTCTCTCTTTGTCTCTCTTTGTCTCTCCTTGTCTCTCTCTCTCTCTCTCTGGTGAGCACACATGCCCTATGGCAAAAACCAAAATAAATAAATAAACATAATAAAAAGGAATATCCTGTTAGTGCCCATTTCATTTTTTAAAGTTTATTTTTTCTATTAGAGAAACAGAGACAGAGAGAGAGATAGCACCCTTTAACAGGGTCTTGATATCACTGTTCACTTTCAGCCTTCAGTCATTCCCGATCACAGGCAGGCATGTGCCTAGTGTACTCAGAGAGGTCTCTCGACTTGAACCTGGAACCTACCCATGTGGGATTGCCCAACAGAGCACTGTGTTTTAAAACTGCACCATTGTGTGTCCCCCTGCTGCCCATTTCTTATATAGCATTGCCCAAAGTATGTTCCTCATTATTGACATTTTTGCAGTGTAGGTAAATTTTTTTATTTTTTGTGAGAGAAAGCATGCATATGAACACACATGGGAGGAGGAGGGTAGACAGAGAGGTGGGAAAGATTTGTTTTTTTAAACAGAATTTCTTTTTAAAAAAAAAAAACAGAATTTCAATGTTTGGATCCTCTGCTCCAGCTTCTCAGTTATCTAGAATTATGGGCATGAGCTACTACACCTGACCTGGTCAGGCTGGTCCAGGATCCAAACCTGGGCTTCGAAGTGGCCCACCTCAAACAAAAGCACCCTGCCACCCAGTCACTCACAGCACTGCAGCCAGGCCAGCCATGTAGGTACTGAAGTTTTTTTGTTTTGTTTTGTTTTGTTTTTGATAGGTTTTTGCTATAGGACATGTGCACTTGCCGGAGAGACAGAGAGAGAGAGAGACAGAAAGGGAAAGAAATCACACTTCCCAGGAGGGATGGCCATGCTACAATCCCTTCTCCATTTTCCTCTTGGGATGTCGGGCGTGCCATGCACATGTGCCTGGCTTGAGTTTTAAGCTGTCTGGTCTAGGACTGGCATCACGGTTGACTACATGGGAGTCCAGCAACATAACCATTATACCATCTACTGGTCCCTGTAGGTATGTTTTTAATAATTGACACTTTATAAATCTCAAGCTCTTGTTCCCCTCCCCTTATTCTGATGTCTTTACTCTTGCAGCATTCCTTCCTAGTAGCTTCTGTATGTACACTACGTTGATAGCCATGACTGGATGGTATATGGACAAGACTTCCATTGCTGTGCTGGGAGTAGCAGCTGGAGCTATTTTAGGCTGGCCATTCAGTGCAGCTCTTGGGTAAGAAACTAACACAATTTGTCTCCCATATCTCATGGAACATATGTTAAATCCTTTTTTAAATTAAATTTATTTATTAAGTAAATAAAATTTATTTCTTCTGAGAGAGAGACAGTTTCCCCCAGTAGGGTCCCCATGCTACGATCCACCCCAAGTCTCAGCCAGCCAGGATCATGGGCAGTTGTATGCTCTTGGCATGCTCAGAGAGGTCACAGGACATGAACCCAGAACCCTTCCCATATGGGTCCAGATATGCCACCGCCTGGCCCTTTAGTAAATCTTAATATTGCATTAGCTCCATGTTGTCTAGATAGTTCGTAAAGTTATAGTAATCATTTGGGCCTACAGATTCCAGAAAATAGAATATTCCTCTCAGTGTTTATTAATGTGATTAATTCTAATAAAAAGAGTGACTATTAAGCATCTGCTGTTATCTTAGGCTTTGCTAAACCCTTTATAAACTTTATCCCACACCTCATGATTCTGTGAGAGAAATAAAATTTATTGGTGCTTTATGAGAAAGTAGTCTCCAGGAGTTGAGTGATTTGCCTTTACACTTTTTTTTTTTTGGAGAAGTTTTTGCGATAGGGCGCATGCACTTGCCAGACAGAGAGAGACAGAGAGACAGAAAGTGAGAAATCACCCCCAGGGGGGATGGCCACGCCGCAATCCGCAATCCCTTCTCCTCCATTCTCCTCTTGGGATCTTGGGCGCGCATGCACACGCGCCCGACGTGAGTTTAA